CCCTTCCAGCCCTAACCATTCTCTGAACTTACCAGTCACATGAAATAGTTAGCTTTCATGTTAAATATCAAAAAAAGTTCTGCAACGCTTCACCATTTGGAATTTGAGTTTCTCATCCCCAACCATAATCCCCTAAATGAGTTTTGCTTCCTTTGCGGTAGGTCAGGAGACAGTAATTTTCCCAACACGATTACTTTGCTTGTGGTATGCCAAAGCAGTAACCTTAGACCACATGGAGAGCTGACCTAGAAACCAGTGCAGTCGCTGGAATACTCTCAGTGGTAAAGTGGACTTGCGTTCTGAATCATTTTCCAAGGTCAATGTCCCTGCAGCCTTTAGTGAGCAAAGAGAAAGTTTTTGGAGGGTGATGAGGTGGGGCTGCATCGCTTTTCTGGCAAATTTTCCTGTGTTGAAAGATGATTTTCATATGGTGTTTTGCCAGGTGACCCAATTTCAAGCAATTATGTGTGTTTTCCCCCCAACTGTCCTTACAGAGTTCAAGAACCAAAAAGAAGAAGCGTTCAGCATCCTTCAGACATTGAACTGTTGCTCCGAGACTATCAGAGGGCCCGAGAGGAAACCAAATCTGAAATTGCACGAGCTAGGGACAAACTTCGGGAGAGAGCCGAGCAAGAAAAAAGGCGTATACGGGAGCAAATATTTTCTCAGTTACAGAAGGTGAGCATTACAGAGGAACCCTTTCTGCCTTATTCACGTCAATGCATTTGTTTTTAAAGAAAATTTTCCACGGTTCAGTAGTTTTCCTCTTTGATACACATCAGTGTAGAAAACCCCAGGAATTAAATGAAAATTTGTGCTTAAAAAAAAAAAATCTCAGTAATTCTGAGCTGATAGTGTTCCTGCTTCTGAATTACATATTCCTGAAGCCACATTTTGTGTACAAGAAACTCCTAATCATAGAATCACAGAATGGTTTGGGTTGGAAGGTACCTTAGAGCCCATCTAGTTCCAACCCCCCCTGCCATGGGCAGGGACACCTTCCACTAGACCAGGTTGCTCAAAGCCACATCCAGCCTGGCCTTGAAGACAGCCAGGGATGGGGCATCCACAGCTTCTCTGGGCAACCTGTTCCAGCGCCTCACTGCCCTCTCCATGAAGAATTTCTTCCTGGAGCCTTCTCTTCCAGCTCCCTCCTGGTTTTCTCCTTAGCTCAAGGTTACTCAGCCATCCTGCTGGGCACCTGCCCAGTCTATGGAGGAGTTTTGCTGAAGTAAACTGAGTCTATTTCAGTATGTCCTTAAACACAAAGGCCTTTCTCATTTTCTTTTTTCTGTTTCTCAGTTAGACTCTCCTCTGTGTGCCTGTTTGTCTCGTGTTTCTGTTTTTCCTTCTGTGCTGTTACCCATCTTGCACAGTCTCACTGTGTGACGTTTTCTGCAGGACACAAGGCCAATACCTCGCTCGGATGTGCCTGTTCTGCCCCGTTTCTGACTATGCTTTTAGGCAGTAACCTTTGTCGCTGCCTGACAATGCAGGGGCAGACCTCCTCTGCACATATGCGCGTCTGGTGAGAAGTGGGATGAACACTCATTTCCTTGCTCTGAGCCCTTTTAAGGCACCTCACATTCAGGTGGATGCCTGATCTTACCACATCTGCTGCTGTATTTTTTTGGCGAAGTGTAGACGTGTTTCACCGGAGTTGGAAAAACAAACTTAAAACTGCCCTTGAAAGTATAAATCTTGAAGTTCGCAATATTCTTTTATTATGTAACTTCCTTCGTCTTTTGGGCCTGCATTAAGTAGTTGCTTTGGTTAAAGTAAAATCTTCAGTCCTTAACAACTACATCTGAGCAGCAAGTTACCTCTGAGAAATAAGCAAAGAACAGCAAATGGGACTGAAAGGGTGTTTTTTAAATTTATTTTTTCCCTTAAGAACATCCTAGCATTGGTTTGATAGCCTGGACGCCTGTACCTGAACAACAGCAGCAGCGGAAGCCGCATTTTCCCAGACTGTGAGGTGTTCCAGGGGCATGTGCTCCATGGCTTATATAATCTTAGTCTTTCAAACAAGCCTGCTTATTTAATACTTTCTGTAAGGCAACAACAGGTTTCGTCCCAGGAACACTCCTTCAACGGAACTGGACTTCTCATTGTTCCCCTTTCGTTTATCATCGATTTGGCTAGCTGCTGTGCGAGGTAGGGTTTGCGTCTGGTTGGTTTTCTTTCTAATGCCGTGGTATCTTTTACAGGAAGAAGCAAGGCTGAAGACTCTTGCGAGTACAAGCACTTTATGTACAGACTCCAGCCTCAGCCTCTCCTCTGGCCCAACATCTGGTTACAATAGCAGCAATACTGCTACGTGTACTGCAAGTAACCTCAGCAGTCAGGAAGGACAGGTGAGAAACAGGCGGCCTGTGGCACTGAGATCTCCTGATGCTTCAGCAGTAACAGACAATATAGGAACAGAAACCTTTTTTGAGATGGTTTGTATTCTGTCACAGCTCTCAGGCAGGACATATTCGTGTCACTAGTACACAGAGGGGTGACATGGAGTGGAGGGAGCTTTACCGTGTAATTGCAAAGGATGGTGAAGCTCTTGTTTTTCTGAGGTTGCTTTTTTTAAACTTACAGATAAAAGCCAGAGAGTTACTACTGTCGGTAATCTGCCACGTTTTAGAAACAAGCTTTTTCTTGTGATGAATCAGAATCTGACAGTCTCAGTGTGTCTCCCTCAGTGATGCATACATTGACTTAAAGAGTGTGTGTGTGTGTGTGAATGTGAACTTTCCTGAAGTTTCTTTTTGGAGTATGCCTCTGTGTCAGCTCCTCACACTTGGTTCGCTAAATTCCCGGAGTCAGGGTATCATTTCAGAACCAGGGGAGAGGCAAAGGAGTTACCTTACGATACAGAGAAGCTGCCAACCTTGTAAGGCAGACTTGCTATAAATACTCCACTTGCTATTTAACATCATTTGGTTTTCTCAGTTCACACCAAAAGCCCCCGCTTCTGCTTTCCTAAATCAGGTTTCCACTGGAAATCCTTTGCTTTCAAGAGATACACGAGGTCGTTCAGCTGTTAGAAATAGTCAGCTCTATGTGCTAGAGCAACTACAGAAGGATACAACATTTGGTGAGTAGAACATACATCTGCTTATGTTTGATTCTTATGCCAAAGCCTGACGAGATTTGTCACTTATGCAAATCCAAATCTAATTTGATTCTAGGCATTTTGGGGATGTCCTTAGCGTTACACGACTTCAGAAACATACTGTCACCCAGCAGCCAGAGCTTGCTTAGAGTTTCCTGAAAAAGTAGACGGTGATTTGAGTCCTCTGAAGTTGGTCTTTTGATGTGCTAACATCATCTTCTGAGAGGGTGTGAGGGTCATGCTTTGATGAACCAGAGAAAGCTAAAGCTGCACCGAGTACAGGATTGTCCATGCACAGTTTTATTTTTAATCCCCAAGACTGCTGTTGCCTATATTCGTTAGGTTATTTATTTAATTAGCGCTTACGTGTGTCCTGGACAAGGGGGTAATAGCCATTAAACCTGAGTAATGTAAAACATAACTGCAGTGCAACCACCCCTACACAGATTGTCTAGACCAGGAATGTTCTCGGTCCTGCAGCACGATGCTGAGGCTCGGGTGCTGCAACAGAGGGTTTAAGGAAGTCCTGACAACTGCAGGAAAGCGGTGGTTTTCCTTTTTCTCTTTTTATTCCCTTGTGGCTTTTTTGTTTCCTGCAGAAGCCAGCAGAATTCAGCCACCCCTTCCTTCTAGTAGCATCAGCTGTAGGTTCACTCATGGATTAACCATTTCTGTCAGCTCCTCTTCAACAAAAGGATACCAAGATTTATCTAAACATATCCTGGCTAACGCTACCACTGAGGTGAGTAAATAAGCACAGTTTTCACCTATTCCCATCCCTCCCACTGGAAGTTAGAGCACAAGGGTGTGGGACAAGCCTTGGTCTTCCACAGTGCCAATAGTAGTTACCTGTGTATCAGTTACGGAGGGGCACGCAGAGCAGTTGTAAGTGGCGGGGGAAAGCAAGCCAGGCTGCGGCATTGGAGTCCAGAAGAGCCTACTGCACCTCAGCTGAACTGTCTGAGCGAAGCTGAGCGCCTCCAGCATCCGAGACTTCCTCTAGCGCAGGCTTTTTGTGTCTGTATGGCTAGGTGTGAGTGTGCAGTCGGAAGGAAAACGCACTAACTGCATCTTTCAGAGCCAAGAGACTCGCTTCAGCAGAGAAAATGAGCCAAGTCAGCCTGGCTGTTAATACTCCCTAAGGATTACTGGCATCACAGAACTAATTCCTTCTGCGGTAAAGCCAGCTTAGGACGAGTAAAAGACAGTGTAGCAGCGTGCAACAGGTGAACACCATTTATAGCTCATACAACTTGCTCTTACCTGTGCATTTTCCCAAGGTAATGGCAGCATGCTCTCAGAACCTGAGGAATCTCTACACGTGCCAGGCAGCAGCTGGTTGGAAGTAAGTTCACGGCGGGTCTTTTTAATGGGAGGCCTTTTTATGTACTTGGCCCTATTTGTGCAAATGCCTTTCGTTTGTCTTTGACAGATATCAGTGTACAGAAAAAGAGGTGCTGGTTTACTACAAAGTCTTCCCTTCAGCAACAAGGCACGGGTTTCTGGGAGCGGGAGTGATAGAAAGACCTCTTCCCTCCGTGTGGGGACTAGTGAGAGATCCTGGCAAAAGGCACCTGTACGACAGAACTATCAACACAGCTCGAATACACAGGAAGGTAACCAGCCACATCCAGCTGGGTGAGTAGCCAGACACATAGAATCACAGACTGGTTTGGGTTGGAAGGGACCTTAAAGACCATCTAGTTCCAACCCCCCTGCCATGGGCTGGGACACCTTCCACTAGACCAGGTTGCTCAAAGCCTCATCCAGCCTGGCCTTGAACACTTCCAGGGATGGGAGATGATTTGCTGCCGTTATCATTACATACTTTCACAGCTCCATTTGTCAGCCAGAAAGAAACTTAAAATCATCTTATTTATTCAAACCTGAAGCAATGAAATAATTCCATTATTTAATATGGGAACTTGAGTTTTGCAACACCTTTGCAAAGCAAAGATAATAGCAAGCGCATCTTCTGCAGAAGTACAGCTAGAGACAGTGGTTTAAAAGCCCAAATAAGTCATAAGGCGGTATGGAAAAGCATCTTAGTGCCACACTACAGCACGTTAACTAAAGTTCTGCTCTTAAGGAACAAGAAATCAAAATCAACTGTGCACATGTATTTAAGGGGTGGGAGAAAATGTGACAAGTTAAAGTTGCCAAAGTCTAATTTCCCCTTTTTGTTGTTTTTGGGTGTTTTTTTTTCACAGTGTATTTAGTGACTGATGCCTCCCTGTGTTACCTAAAGCAACCCCGGGATTTCTGCTGCATTACTGTAGAAGCTGAAGAGGTAAAGTGAATGTTCTCGCTGAAGCCTAGAGGCCTAGTTATCCTGTACTCGTGGTTCAGGACAAAAGGGAGAAGGAAGGAAAGTCCATGCTCCTATTTCCAGAAGCAACAGTACAATAGGAAGAAAAGCCATGCTGATAGGACACGAGTGTGTTATGTATAAAACCCTCTTGTGAATGACAGTCGTCAACCAAGCCCCATCAGGCAGAAACACAAGTGTTACACAGTGTATTCTGGTTACAAATGTGAGATTACGATATTATAAAAAAATACTCAATAACTAACATGAGAAATATTATTTCTTATCAAAAGAGCTCTTTTCAGTGAGTAATATGAGAAACAAGCCTCATGGCAAACAAAGAAAACAGTGCTATATGCATCCAATTGTTTCAAACGGTCATCTTTGCACTTTGTCACATGCAGGAGAACTTGTCTGTCTTGGCTGTTCAGTCTGTCTATGATGCATCCATGCCCTACCCTTGTAAAGAAGTGGTGAGAGGGGAGATTTTGCCAAGTGCTTGGATACTGGAACCTGATGTAGTGAACGGAAGAGATATCACCAGAGTTATTTACATGGCACAGGTAAGATTGCGCTGTATATCCATCTGGGAATGCAAAAAGCCGTTACATCCCAGAATGCTTAGGAGCTGGTAAGTAACAAAAATATATAATCCTTATGCTGTGCTCCAGAATGTTTACGAACAAACTGTAAAAGTCACCGTATGTCACGCGGCGTGAAGCGGAGGTAATGTAGAGAGAGTCTTACTAGGATTGTGCTTAAGCACGTGATCCCAAGTTCGCATGGCAATACTTTGTGTAACTGAAGTGATTGAGTCTTCACGCCTAACAGATACAAAAGAGAAGTCAAGATTAGGATGCCAGTTAAGAATAAGAAAATCCTGGCATCTGTTTATTAAAGACTCATCTGAAAAGTAGGCTGTTTTTGAGACAGGGGTACCAAGTACTTAATGTCCAGAAGAGAATACCGTGCTGTGCAATTTGTTTTAAAGTTCTCCTCTGAGAGCTGTGGAATTTGTCCTTTAAACTTACCTATATAAAACATGGTTTTGAAATACAGTTTAAAACATACAATGTTTAAATTGCAGTGATTAGTAGATGCACTTTACCACGTATGCATAATGTATATGCACTTCAAAACTTTATATGCATTTCATACCGCGCTTCAGTACGTGCATATGCATTTTCAGGGACACTGGATCTGTCTAAGCTCACACTCAAAAGCAGCGTGGCTCATACCTGCTGAAAGTAACGTGAAGTAGCAAAGCTTTGAAAGTCTGTGGAGTATTGGGAAGGAAGAGCTACAAAGCACAGTGCGACGGGATCACTTGGCTGTAAATACTTCTGTGCTTAATGCATACTTGCAACATCAGTGCTACTGCAGGCTGGAGAAGTGTTTTGGTCAAAAACGGGTACAACTCACCCCCAACATGAGGCCTTTCTTCTGACTCCTGCAGGTGGATCTTGGTGCTCCAGCAATCCCTGCAAGACTCCTGAGCTCCATTGCCAAGCGACAGCCCCTGGTGATAGCTCGACTGGCACACTTTCTTGCTAGTTAGTGCTTGGGACAAGACTGGACCAAGCAGCTGAAAGCTCACAGAGAGACACAAGCCCCTCTAAGGGTAATGTAACACGCTGGCTCACAGGACAGTCCCCGTCAAGCCTCACTTGAGGAGTTTAATTGCAAACGCTGGACCACACGAAAGTCCAGGTTCATTTATCTTAGCCGACATTGCTCAACAGACACCCAGCCAGCTTCACGGGGAACCTGTCCTGCTGGAGACAGCTGTGGAAAAGCTCTACAGAACAGCAGGAAAGTGTGCGCTGTCACCATAAAGAGCAGAGGAGGAGACTTTGCTTTACAACAGCCAGCATCTTACATGCAGAAGCGTGTTATTTAATCTCTGTTTCCAAGGAGCTTCGAAGCTCAACCTCATTTCTTTCAGTTTAGGCAGCGGAAGCAATCAAACGCGTACCGCTGCTAGTTGGTATGGCTCGAGACCTTTCACACGTTCCCGAGTAGAGCTGCAAAGCCACTTTCCAAGGCCGAGACAAGTATCCAATGCAGAATTCTTAACGGTGTAGATACAGTCAGCCAGCTAAGTGTTAAATGATTTACCTCCTCACAAAGGGAGGTTAAAACAGCACCATACCCACTAGTGATCCTCCACCGTGGAGAGATTTTTCCCATGTAGTTGGCTGACTTGTCGCAGGCGGTCTACGTTTAGAAGGCCACCACACTATGCAGCATCAGTGGAAATCACCACAGCTCAGGACGCAGTTTTACTGCACTGCAGAACCAGGTGCTTCGAAATAAAGAAACCAAACTGACAGCGGTAACCACTGACACTTCGTCATTAGTAGGGAGTAGTGCTGAGTAATCAGCTTGTTTCTAGAATTTAAATCCTGCAAGTAGGAGTAGCTCCAGCATTTTTCCACCAGCCCTTCTTCGCTTTTACCCAAATGCATCAAGAGTTGGAAATCCCAACTGGTCATAGTCTCACCGCACCTGGCTCATAACACAACCAGCTGTCTCACTGCAGCGAGTAACGACTCCTCCCCTTCTGTTACCATGCAGTATTTCTGTTGAGTTTTGCCCAATCCTGCTGTTGTCGGGCCTTACGTGTTTGCTCAACGCCCTCCCTAGTTCAGTCACACGTTCCTAAAATTAAACAAACCGCCAGCCAACTCAAATATCTGAATAACTTTACGTAGCTCTTCAGCACAACAGTGAAGAATCACTTCAGATACCTTCTCTAAGCAATAAAAGCTGCTGCGATATGCTTTCTTTAGCTCAAAAAAGCCCACTTCTTCAAGAAGCTGTTGCACTTTAAATCTGTCGAGTGAGAGATGTGAATTCAAGCATCCACCTTTCCAGAGTCAGCGTCTGCTGCTAACGTGGCTCCTTTCAGTCGAAGGTGCGACCTCCCAGCATACGGTGACGTCAGCGGCACTTCCCGTCTTTGAGTTCACAAGGCAAGACCTGTTTGTACTGTATCTTTGCACAGGTGTAATTTTGGCTCTCAGCTTCTATGTGTTACGTCCTGTGATTAATGTATTAAATTTTAAAAGAGAGTAGCTATTTGAAATCTATACTTAAGAGCGTTTTTGAGATGGACCAGCCCAAGGCCTCCCCCCCAGCTAACAAAACCTTTCACTTACAGATTTGTTTTAGCTTTAGATGGGCGTGGTTCCAATCTCAACACCAACATGTTACTGTTCTCTCCTGGGGAGGCTCAGCCTTTTCTTAAAAGCCTGCCAAACCGAGTCGTGGCACGGTTCGCTTTGTGTCGCGCATCGTCCGTAGCCCAGCCAGGAAAAAGGGGCAACCTGCCAACGAGATTTTCTGTCACTGAGTGAAAAAGAGAGATTTCCAGAGTTGCAACCGCTTGCACCCCGCCCCGTTGGTGGAACCCAGGAAAGGAAGAGCAAACAAGGCTCTCAAGTACATTACAAGTAGATAAAAGCCCTACCAAAAATGAGTAGGAAGGGCAGCACAGTGTGTTGGCTGTGGCCCCAGTGCTGCCTCCACCGCTTCCCAGGAGGGGGAGGGGAGGGCTCCACGCAATCCACAAATGTTTGGCTCAGTGCTTCGCTTTGTTTTCTCTTTTGTTTTGGACACGGCACTAGTGATAAGCAGTTTTTGTAGGAAAAACATCTAGGGGGACTCCTGTTGCTCAACAATGCCAGTGTCTATGAAGGATAATGTCTTCTTGTACAGTGCATCAGATGTTTATTTTTATATCCACATAAGATTTTTTTCTATGTTTACAGATTAAGTTATTTATATATGCTTGGTTTGAAGCGGTTTTATATGCTATGAAAGCTAAGTTTTATTTTTATCAGTATTGAATTAATGTAATTTTTTTTTTTAAATACAATCTTCAATTGATACTAAAAAGCCTATTTATATAAATGTTTTCTTTTGCAAATGCAACATTTTATGGTACCTGTCAATGCACGGCATTGGTTGGTTTGGAAGGAAGAAACAACCCAGCAGATCTCCAATTTGTTCATCTCCAACGGGCAAAACCCAACGTCCTGTAAGTTGCTGCTGAGCAGTAGGTGATCAGTGGTATTGCACCGCCTCCTGCCGCATCTCTGCTCTTAATCAAGATTGCTATTTTCATATCCCCAATAAATGGTATTTTTTACGCAAGAAAATGTGCCCCACGTTGCTTTGCTCCAGCTCAGATACCCGTGGACAGAACCGTGCTTCCGCAGGAGCTGTTTTCTACTCGAGATGAGTATTTAGGCTGGATGGAGAGAGGATGCCAGGCGAGGTTGCGGTGAAAGGTGCAGGGCTCCTGCTCCCCCACCGAGGAGTGTGCAGCGACTCTGTTTGCGGCACAGGGGTCAAGAAGCCGGTCGCTGCCTGAATGGGGCTTCTGTGACGCAGTGCCTCGCCCAAGCAAAGGGTCTGTTTTGTGCTGAAGCTTTTTTCCCAAGCCCAGTTCCGCAGCCCCTCTGCCGTGGCCATCCAGAAGGAAGTTAACGCAATGCCATTTCTCCTCATTTTCTTTCAAGAGCTGCGAGTTTGCAGTGGGGAAAGACCAACAGAAGGAAGGCCACACCGCTGATGGAGCCTCCTGTGAGCTCTCCTCTCCCTCCCAGCGCTGGCATCGCAGCTAGAGCCAGTGCCTGGGGAACAGGTATGACACTTGAAGCGCTCACACCCCACGGAGTCTGCCAGCCCCGTGGGACTGCATGCTCGTGCACCCTCACGAGAGCGGTCCCACCGCTGGGCATCCCTCGTCAGGAAACAGTGTGCTGTACAGTTGGTCCTAAGGTTTAGTGACAGGGTTAGGTTCTGGCTTCGCAGAGCAGCCACAGCCATGTGCCCTGGGATGCCCAGGAAGTAGAGTGACTGCTTTGTGAGCTCAGACCGTGGGAACAGAGGTGTTTCTTACCTGCTGGCTCCCACTGAAAAGCTGACTGCCTTCTACCCCATAGGGCACAACTGTGCTCTCTGGACATGGCAAACCTGTCCTGGGGCTTGGTCACCTTTTAAATAAGAATTTTCAAGCATGTTGTGTTAAAGAAGGGTACGTCAAGTTCATGAAAACAGCTGTGGCCATGGTATCTATGCCAGCAGTTTTACAATACCTAAATAAAGTCACTTCCAGATCAGAGAGCACCTTTTTAACCATTACAGATTCCAGCTTCTTCCCCCTTCCACCTCCCCTTATTTAACAGTTATAGTTCAGGATAAGCCAAGCAGTAGCAGGCTGGACAGGAGGGAGTACCACACCTTCTCTGCCCCACACTTTGGGGCAAGGCACCTTTTTGCTCTTTGCCCCACTGCAAAGAGGTTATATATCGACAGCTTGAACACAGAACAGGACATTTAAGCATGTTTATTGTGACAACCACCTCAAGCGAGAGCTGCAGCTTAGCGTCACGTAACACTCAGCCTTGGGGAGCGGGTACGGTACGATAGGGTGTTCTTGCCATTGCAGTTGGTACTACCACCTCCTTATGCAGCCTGCCTACTTCCAGGGACCCTCTGCTTCACCCACATCAGAACAGCCCTTATGTGGGGTGCGCAGAGGGAACGTGCCACGTCCTGAAATAGAGCGCGTAGTAACCCACTCAAGAAGTCTCGGTAGAGCTCAAACACTGACGTGCCTCTGGTTTCTCTCTCAGCATCAGATACATTTTAACAGCAGCCACAGCGCGCTCTCCTTAGTCCTGGTTGTGTTTCTTCTTAAATCACTGACTCCAAGGTATTTACCTTTTCTCACCTTATACCATTAGCAGGCTAGAAAGCCCTGGGCTTCACGTTGTCCAGGAACTGTTCTTATGTAACACAGTATTTGCTTTCTGGAAAAAACCTGCACTAACCGGACACTCCTAGACACAAGGAAATAGTATCCTCACTGCTACAGGGGGGGGAAAAAATATCCCATGAGACAGCTAAGGAGCACCTAACCACCACCAGCCCCTACCACAAACCCCAGTTTAAGGAAACACCCTGGGGGGTGAACAGGAGGTCACACCCTTGGTGATGATCTGTCTGGGGGGGCAGAAAACACCCACTGTCCCCCTCCCCAAAAAGGATTCCTCTCCAAAACCAGCTCTTCAGAGAACATCACAGGGCTGTTTTCACTACCTTTGTTGTCTCTTCCAGGCTGTAGGTTTCTTGCTGCAGCATTTCCTGTCTGATAAAACCCAAACTCAAGGCAAGAAGGATTATAAAAAACAGTGAATACCAGCCAGCTGCTCTTTATGTGCACATACTACAAAAGTGTCCTAAAAAATACTGTCATCGGTCAAAAATATAAACAGGTATTTTCTCCCTTATTTCTGGTAAGGGCCCCAGTAAATTACAAGTTCTGTGTCCAGCAAGAGATGGAAGAACACTTAAGCATCTACATGCTTTAAGAATAAGGCCATCAGTGTTGTGGTGTATGTATTTAATATGGTTTAACTTTTAAAACGAGTCTTAAAAATATTAAAATCAAACCTTCAAAGTTGAGCTTACAATGAAAAATAAATATAGGCTCATCTCCATGTCAGAGGGGTTCACCTTTCCCCTCCCCTGACAGTACATCTCGGGTAAAAGACAACATGAGAAATCACATTAAGAGAAGAGACAGCCACCAGGAAAGCACCTCCCTGAACACGAAGCAGCGTGTCCACTGGAAGGGATTCCTGGGCTTGGCCTCAGCCTGTTGCTGCACAAATATAAAAACTGTCTGTGAGTCTAAAAAAAAATATGGGGCTGCTCTGAGCCACCATCAAGGTGCTTAAAGGGCTCCGACTTGGAGATCCGTTAGCTGATGTAAATCCTTCCAGCAGAGCCACCAGGGCAAAACGTCCACAGACAGAAAGACGGGTGCAGTTTTTGCACAAAGTGACCTCTTGGCTGCAGCATTTTCCCAGCAAGGAGCTCACAACGCGCTCAGGAACGCTAACGCTTCTGTTGGCAGCTTTTTCAGTAATTTTTATCCACAGAGAGTTCACCTCCGCTAGCTCTGTGCCGTCACGGTACCTGGAGATTGTCTGGTCAGCTCACAAGGGTTAGTCCTGGGCTCTTCTCTCTGATGTTCTGATAGAAACACTCTGGACAGCATTTCCAGTTCTTTTAAGAACTCCTGCAACAGACACAAACCAGAGAACCCCGATTAACAGATGTCAACAACAAGGCTTGCTTACTTAATTTTTTTAGTCAAGAACGTTACGAGGTTAAACCAACAAAGAAAAGCCAACCATATTCTGGGCTGCATCAGAAGTGTGGCCAGCAGGTCAGGGGAGGTGATTCTGCCCCTCTACTCTGCTCTTGTGAGACCCCACCTGGAGTGCTGCGTCCAGCTGTGGAGCCCTCAATATCAGAAGGATATTGACCACTTGGAGCGAGTCCAGAGGAGGCCACGAAGATGCTCAGAGGGCTGGAGCACCTCTGCTATGACGAAAGGCTGCGAGAACTGGGCTTGTTCAGCCTGGAGAAGAGAAGGCTCCGGGGAGACCTTATAGCACCTTCCAGTACCTGAAGGGGCTACAAGGAAGCTGGGGGGGACTTTTGACAAGGGCCTGTAGTGACAGGACAAGGGGTAACGGGGTTAAATTGAAAGCGGGGAGGGTTAGATTGGATATCAGGAAGAAGTTCTTCCCGGAGAGGGTGGTGAGGCACTGGAACAGGTTGCCCAGAGAAGCTGTGGATGCCCCATCCCTGGAAGCGTTCAAGGCCAGGCTGGATGAGGCTTGGAGCAACCTGGTCTAGTGGAAGGTGTCCCCGCCCATGGCAGGGGGGGTGGAACTAGATGGTCTTTAAGGGCTCTTCCAACCCACACCAGTCTGTGATCCTATAAACACGTCGTTGATGGTTTTCTAGTGTAGAAACCTCAACAAGCTACAACACCGATGGTGAAGAGAATGCCTGTAAGAAAAATCACTGCCACAGCTTAAATGGTTGAACACCTCCAACACGTAAGCGCTTAGCAGCCTTAAAACACTGTCCACATTTTAGCAAGGGACTGGGGCTGTCTCCTACATGTTGACTCCAGCTGGAATAGTCTGACAGCTCTCACATTCTGCTGGTAGGAGGCAAAGGGGTTTAAACGCAAGTCAGGTCAGTTAAGACCCTTCCCCACACGTCCTTCTCAGCTGGAGCACGGAAAACGCATTCCGGCTAGAGCCGAGAGCTGGTAACTGAGCCAGCTGGACTCCAAACTGGTTGACAGTTTTCTTGATGCTTCCCCTGTGTGGGGAATGTTGGGATTCACACAAGTACAGGCTGCTGCCGAACACTAGTAACAAGCTTGCTGGAAGCCAGTCCTGCTGCTGCGCTGAGCAGGAACTCTGTAAGAAAGGCGATGAGCTTCGCCTACGTGAAACAACTACAAGGATAGATTGTTGATGAAGCAGAGTCAAGCTCCACTTATTGCCCACACACATCTTACCCACACTTACTTGCCCACACTTACCAAGGGCCACGGGAGCTCTTCAAGGCCATGCAAGCAACTCTCTATTTCACTGGTTCTCATCAGTTTGTGTTCTACAAGACCATGAAGCATGAAAAGGAACAAATCCCACTGCAGAAGAGGAAAAAAAAAAAACCATCAACAACTCAAAGAGAAATGGGCTTTGCGTTCACTTCTTTATCCCTGTATAATTCAGGGTTTTCTTCTCTGCAATGTGGAGAAAAGGGGCAAAAGGAGAATGCACATTATTTACCTGGGTGCGGCAATGAAGGACCCCAGAGAACAACACCCAAAACGAGTGAACAGAATTCCCTCAGTGCGTACACTGCACCCTAAAGTCTCAAAATCTCTGATTCTGCTTCCGAACACACCAAGTGTTTAATTCCTGTGTGTTCAAGAACAACTTGAAAAATTCTTTCCTTACCTTCTGAAATAAGCTGGTTTTAGCCTGCAATTAAAAAGGGCAATTTTCGGCTTCGTAGCTGGGGATCTTCTAAGGTAACTCGGACATGCACGCAAAAACGAAAGCTGACCGAAGACACAGGAATGCAACCAGTTACAAGGTGACGCGTGTTCAGTCCTCGTCACCTCCCAAGCCAAACGGGACATTTTCCATTTGTTCCTAAATGCAGCTGTGCCTTCCCGACAGCCCCCCAGACAGGCATCAAATGCTAACAGGACGAGGGGTAACAGGTTTAAATTGAAAGCGGGGAGATTTAGATTAGATATCAGGAAGAAGTTCTTCCTGGGGAGGGTGGTGAGGCACTGGCACAGGTTGCCCAGAGAAGCTGTGGACGCCCCATCCCTGGAAGTGTTCAAGGCCAGGCTGGATGAGGCTTGAGCAACCTGGTCTAGTGGAAGGTGTCCCTGCCCATGGCAGGGGGGTTGGAACTAGATGAACTTTAGGGTCCCTCCCAACCCAAACCACGCTGTGATCCTATGATTAGTACGCAGTCCCTTTTTTCTCCACCCCTGCAGAAGCAACGCCAGCTAACAGCAGCGCAAATCCTGCTGCCCTCCTTCACACAAGCCATCAGCACTGTGGGCGGGCAGAACTCCTACATGAATGTGTCACACCAGGGGGGGTAACAGGCAGCTCCGTAGGTCAGAATAAGCTTTACCTCTCGCTGCTTAACTTCTGCAAAATAACCCATGTTCTTCGTGCTGAAGATCAGCTGCACAGGAACAGGCGTCCCAAAGTCCTCCTTCCAGACAGAAAGCAGCAGTTTCAGAAGGCCATAGGTGGGATTGTACTTGACACGCAACATCTCGGAGCTCTTCTCTGCGGACTTGACCCTGAGGCTCAGAGGAACACGGTCTGAAACTGTAAGAAAAGGAAGAAAGGTGAACTTCTACAGCCACATTATTTTCCTTTCATAGTCATCATCTTGGTCCAGCAGCACATCTGGCATAGCTGGTGTCTAAACAGCCACTGAGGTAAAAACGCTTAGTGAGTGTAAACCAGTGAACTTCAGAGGACTGGAGCTCAGAAACAGGCAAAACTGAGCTTTGAAACTACACAAGTATTACGTAGAAGAGATTTATACTGCTCAGATACAGAATACCAGCTGGCTGGCATATACCCCAAGTCTGGAAAGACGACTAAGTACAAGTCAGCCTGATGTTTATTAAAAGAGGACCTCGGTGTTACGCCAAACGAGAGGGGAGTTACGCAGTAAAACGGCATCTAAATCTAGAAACAGATGAACTAGCTGGTTAGAGGTCTGACTGTACGCAGAGCTGCATAACTTCCTGCAAGTACAGGGTTTAACTGCAGCCAAACATAGAGGGAAGGTACCAGCTCGTCCTTGGTACAGTCGAAGGGAAGGGGGCAGATTCGCACTGCTGCCCCCCAGAATGTAATCTCATCATATTCAGGTGTCAACTGCTTTCTGAAAGAATGAACCATGCAAAAAACTTCTTAAGCAGCTTCCAAAAACAAGGAAATGAGAAGGCTGCCCAGGAAGAAAAAACCTGCATCCAGATCACTAGCTCCTGCTGAGAAAAACACTCTGTTTAACACATTAGAGCAAGGGAGGGGTGGGAACCAAACAACCAAAACAACCCTGAAGGCGCTTACGGAAGTCACAACACACAGAAAACAAGTTACTTCCATTCTCTCCAGAGAGAGGCATAAAAATACAGTTTAAGGGAACAAGCCCTTACTTTTGGGGCAAATAAAACCCCCGGATGCAGCTTTTCAGGGGCAGAAATACTGGAAAACGTACCACATTTAAATGGATGTATCCGAACCTAAAACCCCATGGAGATGGGAATGAGAACCCAGACCTGAAGGATGGTCAGTCACAGTGTAATGCTGTATAAGTGCAGAAGGTGGAAGGGAGTAAAAGCAACCACCCCATACTGACAGAAACAAAATCTGCAGACTCCACGACGCCGAAAGAGAATCAAACATCCCTGAGCTCTAAATACTGAAGTCTCTGACCCCAAGGATTTAAGAGAACCGTAATAACAGGCTTCAGCTTCAAATAGCTTACCATGACTGACTTACCCAGCAAAGAAGCCAACTCAACCGTGCACTTTGCCAGCTGCTGTTCAGATGTGGGACACATGAACTGGAAAACACAAACCCGTGTCATCTCCTTGTCCCCACACTGCGCAAAACAGGGCTTCACAGGAGATCAAAGTATCAGAGAAGAGCAGGCAATTTACAGCAAGAAGCACAGAGCTGTGATCAGGAGACCGTTAAAGGCAAAGACAAGAAGAGATCATATATGAAAAGGGGAGCCAAGGGTTAATTTTAAGCACGAAGCAGTTCTACACAGGATGGAAAAAAAAAAAACAAAAACCCCAAACCAAAAAAAACCCCAAAACCCAACAACAACAAAAAAAACCCCACTGTCACATCTGAGCTCAGACAAAAACCATTGAACTGAACCCAACTGCGAGGCAAGGCCAGCTACCACGTTTACAGGTATGAAAACCGCTCAAAGTGGTCCCGAGGGATTTTTTGCTGCTTTTCTGCACTTCTACCTTTCTGCACTGAAGTGTCTGACTCAATCTTCCCAGCAAGCACTCCAGCCAGACGCAGTCAACCACTTCACCTTTATCCCGTGGGCCCACAGCAACGCAGAGCACATCCTTGATGAAAAAGACAGCAGCATTAGTACTTCCACAGGCACAGCTTTGGACCTATGACCCAGCACTCCACACACCGTCCTCAGGTCCTCGTTTAAAAAAAAAAAAAAAAAAAAGCAGGTAGTTATCTTCCTCATTTCTTAAGACAGATGAAAGATGAAAGCTGAATTTCTCACCACCTCCAGGGCTGATTTCCTCCCACAGTTCGCACTAATATTATGAAGTCAAAGTCAACGAGGGCAACCAGTTCATCGTTCTCAAATGGAACTGGCTGTGAAAGCTCTAGGTAAATCTGACAGTGCAGGAAGCAGGTCCAGGGTAAAAGGGCTACAGAACTCCTGAGTCCTCTTACATTCCCAACGTCAGCTTCAGTGTCAGCAAGAGCTGAGTGTGAAAAGCACTCACAGGGTTACGGCACAAAAACTGGTTTAGCAAATTTTACACATGGCAGCACTTTCCACCACCAGCCATTTGCCACCCAACATCAGAAACTGAGGATGGAAATCAAAAGAATGAAAAGAATGTTTTTGAAAAGCTGCATCTCAAGATGCCACACAGAGATATCTTTGGAAAGCAACAGTTCACAGAAAAGGCCCCTGGTTTCCTCACATGCCTCGCTCTCCTCTTTTTATCTCAAGCAAGAAGGTGCTACAAGATGCGTGCTCATTCTTACACCGTTACTGGGAACGCGACGACAGCGAGATCCAGTGTCACTGCTCAAACAGAAAAGCAGCAGCAAAAGAATAACCCCACACAATCGTAAAAGTGAGGCTTTTCAAATTCTTCTGTTCCTCATGAGTTACTCCCACTGGTTCTATAATTGCATGATTTTTACAAGAACAGTGACCTTTGAAAAGCCTGGGAGAAGAGACCAAAATGTAACCTGAGCCAGCCTGAATAGAAAACTGCTTGGATCGAAGGCTGAAACGACACCATCGCCTTCGTTTGAAGATACTCTGATTCTCCCTAATTATGGCTGAATGAAGGTGCAGATGCAGGCTGGACAAACAAATCTTTTGACAGATCTGTACAGATTCATCTGCCGCAACACTCATCACACTGTGGTTTCTATGCTACTCGTCTCAAAAAGGTCCCGGCCACGCTGCCAGAAATCCTGTATTTGAGATCGCCCTCCTGAACAGGGAGCTCTGATCTACACACAGTGAGCAGTGGGATGGAAAAACAAACATGAGATCTTTCCATCGTGCTTCTTAACACTCTCCACAGCCAGTTCCTTAGAAGCAGAACATCCCCTTTAAAAAAAACCAACACACAAACCTTGCCCCAAAACCGCCAAGGTAAAAAACAACAGGGGAGTTAGGGCAAGCCAGGGAGCCAGCACGATCTACCTTAATCTCGTTGATGATTTGGGAGGGGAACGGAGCACAGTGCTGACAACCTGGAGGGCAGTCCCTTCGCAACTCCAGCGCGTCCTCGCCGGGCAAGGGCGGTCCCGGGACTTTCAGCATTCGGTTGAAGGTCGCCTTCACTTCTCTCTTGATGAGTGCTACAAAGAACAGGGAACAAATCCTGCCTATTGCAGCTTTTCCCTCCGGTGAGAGAGACAGCTGTTTCCGAACACTACCCTTATTGGCTTCTCATTCCCAGGGCCACGGCAAATGAGGAAAAGGCAGCTGACACTTTCAAACCCCTTCTGACTGAGGTCCCGTTACATTTAACGGGCAGAGGCACAGCTCAACCCGCAGCTCTGCAAGGCAGCCACCCATCACCCCCAGCTACCGCCAGCAACTCCGCTCATTTTCCATCATAACAGACCCACAGAAATAACGCACACGGCAGCTAAGCCAGGAGGCAGTGCCAAAGCTGAAAGCTGAATCAGCGTGAGAGCCCCAGCTGACCCGCTGTGCCCATGAAAGCCATGGGTTTTCTACCAAAATAAGTTTTGACCAGCATCCAAAACACTAAACTTTTGCTGCTACAAATGGTGCTAAATAGTCCTTCGCAGATTCTTGGCACAACTTCCTGATGGGTTTTCAGAGATTCTGACGAGCTGCCAGAGAACTCCGAGAGTGCAAGGACCATGCAGTTGCCCTCAGCCTGCTGGAAACACCCCCAGTCCAAGAGGTGTTTGTTTTGCAGGAGATTCCAGAAGCGCTCCGTATGTGTGGACCGTAAGGTGGCTCGAGAGCGCAGCTCTCACGTCTCAAGGCAACGTCAGCCTAGATGACATTTTCAGAAGCAGCTTTCCACAGCATTTGTTCTCACTGTCCTACGAGTCTCCGTAACTAAACGTCACTTACATGGGCCAAGCCTGAAAAATTACTGAAGAAGGTCCTCGGAGCTAGAAATCATTCCTCTTATTCCTAAACAGAGGGACAGAGCAACTACATGCTTCCCACTAAAAGAAAAATGAGTAGGACCAGGTACTTTATAACACTGGAATAAAGTCTACCCCTAGACCTCAGAAAAAGAGCACAACATGCAGCACAATACACCCCAGTTCAGGGTAACTCACCGGCAATGTTGGCAGAAAGCCAGCCACAGGCTTTCTCAGTGGCCAGTTCCACTGCAATGTCTTCTGCGCTGCTTAAAACCTTGACAGGGAGGGTGACAAGTGACAGGAGATTTACCATCAGCCACAGCACTACAGTGAGAAGTCAGAAGGAAGTCTAGAGGGAAAAGGCTTAACCTCAGCATGCAAAATTTAAACAGCGCGCCACCTCCTCTGTGGGAACCGCTACTCTGAGAGACAGGACCGACCCACTTTTGATTTCCCAAACCTTGTCAACCCCATACAGACCCCCATCAACCCTTGGGGAATTAGATGCTAAACCAAAAGCATTATCCTCACGAGACGAGTGCAACTGATACACCATTCTAGCCTCAACAGTTAGCTACTGGCTAGAGCATCACTTCAGCCAGAATACCCAGGGCAGAGGTGACTGCCTGGCTATTAGTCCTTATACGAGGGCATCAGTAGATTCCCCTGTCCTAAGCTATTAAGGGATAAGCAAAGCAGCAATGGAAAAATGGTAATGGTCCAGACTTAAACTCAAGTGAGTTTTAGTGAAAATACATACCGCTGCAGATGTCTCTTCTGGCAATAACACCCTTACCGCCTCAGGGCCCTTCTTTTTGCAAAATCTGCACGAAAAGAAAGAAAATGTGCCACGGGATTAGTCAAAGTTCTTGGCCGATGCGCGGAGGTTCGTCACTGTACGAACATCCACGCTCTCTTACAGTCAAAGCCGGCTGGAAAGCTGCCGTGAAATAAGCCAGACCTAAAGAACCAGACAAGGAAAAAGCAAGCCACCAAGGCGCAATACTCAGTTTTCCAGAGAGGGGAAATACAATAGCTGCAGTGGATGTCCGTTTGGGGCTGGATGCAGAGGGACACACACCTTAATTCCTTCCTACAAATATGGCATTAGGAGGCCGGAGGCGCAGCAGTCACGCTGAGAAGAGACGAGGTGAGGGTTTATTATTAGCAGCATCTGAGCACGACAGTCAGAGCTGAATCAGGCTTACAGACTCTACGATCAGAAGAGACAGGAAGGCACAAGTTTCAGTAACTGTTCCTCCTTACTCTCTGCCTTTGATGAGTGCCTGGGCCCCTTCCTCATACAGATGAGCGCACACCTCTTCAAGCAGCTTGTCATGATTAGCATCCTCCTCCTTCACTTTCTCCTGCAACATGCCTTCAGCCCTTTGAACCAACTCCGCTACCAGCGTCGCCCTGTGAAAAACCAAGAACAGACGGACTGAAATGGACATGAGCCGGCCGTGTGCGCTGGCAGCCCAGAAGGCCAACCGTATCCTGGGCTGTATCCAGAGAAGTGTGGCCAGCAGGTCGAGGGAGGTGATTCTGCCCCTCTACTCTGCTCTGGTGAGACCCCATCTGGAGTGCTGCATCCAGCTGTGGAGCCCTCAATATCAGAAGGATATTGACCACTTGGAGCGAGTCCAGAGGAGGCCACGAAGATGATCAGAGGGCTGGAGCACCTCTGCTATGACGAAAGGCTGCGAGAACTGGGCTTGTTCAGCCTGGAGAAGAGGAGGCTCCGAGGAGACCTCATTGCAGCTTTCCAGTATCTGAAGGGGGCCTACAAGGGTGCTGGGAGAGGACTCTTTACAAGAGCCTGTAGTGATAGGACAAGGGGGAATGGGTATAAATTGAAATCAGGGAGGTTTAGATTAGATGTCAGGAAGAAATTCTTCACAGAGAGGGTGGTGAGGCACTGGAACAGGTTGCCCAGAGAAGCTGTGGATGCCCCATCCCTGGGAGTGTCCAAGGTCAGGCTGGATGTGACTTTGAGCAACCTGGTCTAGTGGAAGGTGTCCCTGCCCATGGCAGGGGGGTTGGAACTAGATGATCTTTAAGGTCCCTTCCAACCCAAACCATTCTATGATTCTATGATTCTATGAAATCAAAACACACCAAACCAAGAGAGCTGGGGTGCTGGAGCACACAGGGAGACGGGGGGAGTCGGCTTCACTTAGCCCGGAGAAGGTGAAAGGAGAAGGAAGGGTTACAGAGGCAACAGAACAATGCTTCCAGGAAGCGCGCAGCTAAAGGCTGACAGGCAACATGCACAAGCTGGAACAAGGGAAATCCTGATAGGATATAAGGAAGCATTTTTCACAAAGCCTGGGAAAATTAAGCAGTGGAACATGGTACTAAGAGGCTGCTGAATCCTTAGAGACTTTCACAACTTCACTGGAAAAGGTGTCGAGCAACCTGACCCAACTTGAACACTGGCCCTGCTTTGAGCAGGAGTTTGGATCACATGATCCCTTCTGACCCGAGATCTTCCCTGTCATTAGCAAGAATGTTCTGAAAGGGATATCAAGTCTCAAAACGCTGTATTATGATCACATTCCAAGTGTCCCACGATCATATAACCCTTCTCTTTGCATCCCTTCACAAACTGCCCTCAGTGATGGCAATCAGATGTTGCTGGACCCCACTGTCACAGCCTTACCTAACCTTGGTGTTCCGCCACACAACGTACCGAGGGAAGCTTGCTTTCCTCCGTACACATAAATTTTAAGGGATCAACTTTTTGCCTCGTAAGTGTAAAGTTATTTGTTAAGTCCTGGAACAGATTACCAGCACTTACTTGATGTGCTTAACACAGTTGGATCCCACCCTCTCTGCCACAAATTCAACTGTTCTCCGGAGGGAGGGAGGCTGGTTGTGGAAGAAGGCCTGTTCCAACTCTACCTGTTCAGGAGAAAAATGCTACAGTTGATTAGAGCACTCCACCCAGATCCTCCTCAACACTGTCAGAGACAGAACCACCACCTGCAACTCTGCTAAAAGGCACATGATTTGCCTACGCTACAGCTTTCTGCCGCTGTAAAGAAAGCTTTCTGCCGCTGGCTCCCTATCTCCTAACCATTTCACCCAAAGCTCCTTGTGTCTGGTTTTATGAAACTGCAGAAGGAAATGCCCGGTGAACAGAAGAATAGGAGAGTTCAGACAACACCTCCTAGTAGTAAGTCACCACACAGGGTTTGTTTTTGGAAAGAAAGGATCCTTTCTTTTAATTACAGGCTGGTGATCCCATAGGATCCTACCCGGTTCCTTCTTTTTGTGGAAAGCATGGCTACGATCTAACCAAAACGGAGCATGAGAAACCGTCATGGTTTAATCACCGGCACAGAAGAGGAGGCAGACAGAGGAACAGGCCAGTTGTTTCAGTCACAAGAGTGTTTACTGAAGTTACCTGGATTTCAGCACCCACGTGGTATCCCAGCCACACGTCTAACAGAAGAATGAGGAGTAAGGATACCCGACTGCTAAGCACCATGTTCCCTGCTGCCTAGGCCCATTCTTTTCTCTCCCTGGCATTAGGGTACCACTGTGTACCCTACCCTCACACAAGCAATATTCTCCTGCCCTGCTTCCCCCTGTGACTCCCCAGTTTCGTTACCTGCAGTTTCCGCTGTGTGACAGAAGCCTTGGGTGCCAAGGACTCTGCAGCTGTGGGAGTGATTTTCCTTATAAAGCCACCATTTTTTGCTCCGCTACCAGCCACAAAAGAAGCAAGTAGTTTCCGCAGCTCACCTGCACAGAAAGACATGCAAAAGCATTCAGCGTCCCCATAAGCAAGGGAACAGATCAAAACTCAAGAGAGACTTTCACATGGTCAGCCTTGTGAATCTCCTCTGGAAAACACTCTCAGTCCTGTGTCCAAAGCTGGAGTTTCAGAAACCCAGAGGAGCACCCCCCTGCCCACATCTAACTGGCAGGGCACAGCGAGGCAGGCAAGGCTCTGAAGGTAAGAGAGGATGCTTCCGAAAACCTCCCTGCCACATAGGACTTGTTCAGAAGGATCCGGAAGCAGTCATTTCTATGAATCCCTTTTTAGCATGGCAGTGGGAACTGCAAAGTCTACAAGGACAACAAGGCAATAGTTACACAAAATTACAACAGGCTCAGGAGAAAATACCAGGGAAAAGGCTTGAAGAAACATTCAACCCCCAGAAGCTTCTGTGATGCAGGTTTAACACACAGTTTTCCTAGCAGCTAAGTCCCAAAAATCACAGCATCATCCCACCATCTGGGACTCTACAGAGAAGGATTTCACAAATGGCAGTCAGATCCCAGGAAAATGGTATCTCAGACAACAGGTTTGATAAAGCACCAGGGCACAAAAGGATTTTTCCCCTCTGCCTGGCAGCAGACACACGCTCAAGGATCAAGGCACTCCCCAAACACCTCTCCCTATCCCTGGGATGGAAAAGTTGCACACTTACTCCTTCCCTCAGCTTTCGGAAGGATGAGTTCGCCCCTGTACCCAAGCTTTGTAGATCAACTGTCCTGACCTTGTAGCCTCCCTCCCCCAGCATAACCACATACTATTCACAGCTGCATGAGCTTCTGCAACACAGCTGAGACCTGAAGTTGTGAGGAGGGCTACAAAAGCTGACCTGCAGACTCACCACGCCAAAGGACAAATCAAAATAAATATATACTAATATATTTTATTCATACAGCAAATATAAACAAAATACTCACCAAGGTAGGGACAGCAGGTATAAAGCAACTGCTGATCCACCAAGGGCACAGAGTCCTGGGGAGAAAAGGAAGGAAATGCTGAAAGGACAAGGCAGGAAAGAAAGTCTTCAGCAAGCCAGGAATCCCATATGTGGGGTCACAGGCAGGCTTCCGAACTGCCTTTCCATGAAAACCATAAAAATTCCAAATCCACAGTAAAATTATGAACTTTGCAGCCCAAGCGTTCAGCCCAGCCCTGTAATGAGCTGCTCTACACGCTGTGTAGCTCAACCTTTGGCTCTGATCACTCTCAGATTCCACCTGAAAGATGACGGATACAAAAGGAAACCAGCACCGGCTGCCACAGCTGCTACTTGTAAAAAAGAAACCTACTACCGAGGAGACTAAATGAGACCCATCTGCTACGCACTGCACCTCCACAAATGTCTTCATCCAGCCTCTCTGGAATGCCACACTGTGGAGAACTTGCTAATTAGAACAAGAGACAGGTCTGTCTTAGCAAACATACAGCTAATTTTTCAAGGAATACTATGTATCCTCTTGCATGCCTGGGGGTTACCTGAAACATCCCACATGCCATCAACTCACCTCCTTCTCTGCTTGCTCATACTATTTTCAGTTCCATCACCCTTTATCATGTAACTGGGAAACAGGTGACTCCAAACACAGGAACCTTGCTCTTACAGTCTCATTATTTCTGTTGAGTTTGCCATTACTATTACTTATTTCTGGAAAGAGCTACAGTTCCATCAGCTCACCTTGCACTGCAACGATCAGTGAGCCAGAAAACAGCATCAGCACAATTCTGCCTATTCTGCAAGCCACTGCAGCAGGTGAGGTGGCTCCTGCCTGACAGAGCTGTAACACAGTTTTCACAGAATGGTTTGGTTTGGAAGGGACCTTAAAGACCATCTAGTTCCAACCCCCCTGCCATGGGCAGGGACACCTTCCACTAGACCAGATTGCTCAAAGCCACATCCAGCCTGGCCTTGAACACTGCCAGGGATGGGGCATCCACATTCCATCCAAGATGCTATGCAATCGAGGCGCTTGCACACAACGGGGCATCACATCCCTCAGCCTACATACTGCACTGAAGCCAAATTCCTGATAAAAACTTAAACTCCTGGGGCCACGGTAGGTCCATCCTCACCCACAGACTCAGAGGGCACGCTACTGCACTAACTCACCAAAGCCTGAGCAGATGTCACAGTATCCACCATAAATCCCTCCTGCCTGGCATCAGTGGTAAAAAACAACTCTTCAGGCACTGATGGAACCTGAAACAGAAACCCCAGTAGTTACAACCTAAAGGGCAGTCAGTAACTGAAACCATTTCTGATAAAGATGACTGAAAAATCTCACCCGCCTCCCACCCACAAAAAGATCCTCTCTGCCCTATGTAGAAACTTTGCATAAAGCTGAAGATGTGGTTTGATCACATAACATATGCCACCTTCCTTACCCTCCCCAGACAGCATCTTTCACCTTCCCAACAGGTTCCTGCTAACCAGTTACCTTGCTTCCAACTGAAGGCACAGAAGGAATTTAGAAGTTCATCATGCACCATCCCTTTATCGGACAAAAAAACTCCACAACTTCCCAGGATTACATGGCTGCCACTAGGACTTCATCTTTATGACAAGAGTTCCCTGTTCTAACAGGAATCAGCTGTCAATCTGCTTACAAGGAGGCAGATTTGGGTTGTGTGTTGCTTCACACAATTCCACTAAAGGAAAATAACTCCCCATTGGAACACAGAGGATTCTTTAAAACCCACCCTCGTGTAAAAAAAAAAAAAACAGCAAAACAACGAGCTGCTGTTTTGCAGTGGTTTAACTCATTTCAATACGATTTTCTACCGAGTTTTGCGCCCTGCTTTTCCTCAGGGAACAGCTGTGTGCACACGGGAGACTCTACCTGAAAAAGCCAACCCAGAACCGCGAGGATCAGCAGCTTGTTCAGGAAACTCATCTCCTTATCTTCAGAAAGGACCATTAACCTGCCACCCAGCAAAAGCAGCAAGAGAGTGTTAGATTGCAGGAGCTCAATTTTCTTTAAGGAAAAAAATATCCCAAACCCACTCACTCTGTAATTCTACTGTTTGCCACCATGCACACATTCCCTACTTGTCTGCATGAAGAGTGGAGAGCAAGCTCTCCTTTTTTTTGTTAGTATTCATGTGAACACATGCCGTTTCAAGTTCACACTGGAAAAGCCAGTGTTAAGTAACTCTCTAGAATGCGCTTCAGTTTTCCCTCGCATGCGCAGGAAAGAAAGCTCGGGCATTATTTAGGCATGGGAGACCTTGTAGGTTTAAGGTTCAAATTCACAGTTTAAAATTCACAGCAGAGGGTGTAGAATGAGTGAGTGGGGATTTAAAGAATGTTGTTTACACCACATAATGAAATGGAATATTAATCTCTGAGTTTAGGATGTGCTCCCTTTGCAGCCTTATACAAGTTAAGAAATGCTTATGATTTGCACCAAAAAAAAAAAATAAAAGGTACTTCTATCAGTACCTCAAACTAGGGCCAGCGCGCACTCTCAAACACAAGGTACCTCAACTAAGCAAGAAAACCTTCACCGAAAAGTTCTTAAACCAATACCCTTTCTCAGGCTCTTACCTGTATACCTGCAGCAAGAGGCAAAATACTTTCCTGTAGTAATCAAGGAAAGGAGCAATATAATCCACAAGGGAAAGGTACTCCACAATCCAAGGAATGGTCAGGATAGAACGCTGATCCCGAATAGATTGTCTCAGAAGCTTCAATACATCCAGTACAGGCAGGGTCTTAACAGACAGCAGAAGTTAAAGCAGCAGCCTGGAGTAACCTTTTGATACTTAAATAAAAACTTTCTATCGTGACTTTTCTTTCGAGGATTTCACCCTCTGCACAAACAAGCGGTGACTTTCTGGCCAATTAAAACATTTCTTTGCACAGGAACAGAGGTAAAACTCACGCTGTGACAGCAGCCAGACATCCCACTGGGACTTCCCAAAGCAAGCCTATAAGCCTGACTATGCAGAAGTGGAGTTGAGGTCTAACCTTGCCTCCTTGCTTTCAGCAGGGAGATGGATGCAAAACTAACAAAACCACTCCTGGTAGCTGGATTTTACACTAGAAATACAAGCTGTTGTAGCTACGTCAGAGTCGTGGTACGACAGCCACAGACTGGCAGAACTAACAGAAGAGCGAGTACCTCACCATCAGTGCACTGCTCCCTCTTTTCTAGCTTATACAAACTCTGCTTTCCTTTATTCCCAACCCCAGAATATGCAGTAGGGGCACAGAACAGTGTGACACCATCCCAAGAGACACTGGCTCACTTTGAAAGGGCGTATGCAACTCTTCATAACCCCCTCCCCGGGTCAGAAAACCTGCCTGTCAACCAAAGGTCACGCTAGATTTCTTAGAAGAGTCTGGTTTCTTACTTGGTTTCTTAACGCTACTGCAGAGTCTTGCAAGTCCCTCGTTGGTTGCTCCACAGTGCGATAAGGCAAGAAAACAAGAAACCCCAGGAACTTGGCAAGGAGTCGTAGGCTTAACAGGACCACAGTGAAACGCTTCTTTTCGTCCTAAAACGAAGAAAAGCGAGATGGGGCGATGCTACCCTAAACTGGCAAAGCAGCTACCTACACCACGCTTCCACTACCTTCGTGTGAAAGGCCACACAGCTTCGTCCCTGCTTTTAATAAAGGTACATTTCCAAAATACAGATTTGTCAAGCATTTTAAACTGCTTCTGCCTCCACTGCTTCACTTATGGTGAGAATAAATTAATTCAAGAGCTTCCTAAACCAAGCAGCTGCTCAATCACATCTCTGCATTAACGACTTTGGAGTCAATGAGAGGGCAGAGCTGATCTCGTATGTCGCCTCCTTTGTACAGTATTGCCGCTCTGCAAGTTCCAGGAACCTTTTTCTGCTACTTTGCTAACAGACTACGGCACCTCTGGTCGGTACAGATGAGCGAAGAATCATCTGAGCAGGTAGGAACAGGCAGGACTACAAATTCATCCCAACCCAAACCCTTCTACATGGAAAAATAACAAGGAGCTCTTGCCATGGAGCGCACCAACTGGACCCAGTTACGTCCCTCTTCCACTGCAGGGTACTAACAACCTAAGAAGAGGCTCTTGCTGTTTGAACTCTGTGCTTCGTCTCTTACCACCCAGCTCTGAGAAGCACCCTGAAGCGTACAAGTCAATGGCCAGTGGCTCAGGCATCCATAACCGGGCTGCAGAGTTATGACAAAACCAAATGAAGAAGTTCTTGTCCGGCAAATACAGCGGCGGAAGCTCCCAGGTGACCCACAGGCAAGCCAGCAATTCTCTGAGTACAGGAAGAGTTCAGGGAAATTCCTGCCAGGGGTGTCTGCAAAAAAGCTCACCTGTTCATCCATATCTGCTTCCCCGTCACTGTGCTCGTGCTCCACCAGAGTAAGGCCATCCAGTTCGAGTATCTGCAGGCACAGGCTATCCATCAGGTGCTGATTGAACTGGTAACTTCAGCAAAAGATGAGGATGAGTCAGACTGGGCTGAAAACGGCAGTAAAACCTCAACTAACAGACTACAATATTACCAGCTTGTCTCCGGCATCGTATCAAGCATCAGCAGACAGCCAAGGTAACACACTGCAGACATGCAAGCAAGGGTCAAGACTAGTACTGGCTGACCCCCTTCTTCCCCACGCTCCTTTTGTACAGTTTCAAACGGAGGTTATTTAGCAAGTCCCAGCATAGGGACAATAAAATGTATGCATTGAAGCCAGAAGCTGTAAAGTAACCAAAGTTAGGATTCACATCTCCTGTAGATCTCAACTCCTCCATGGTGTGGATGGTGAAAAATGCATTAAACAAACCCAGGAACACGGCTTCAGCCTCTAGCTCCTTGGCTTCTCGCTACGCAGCACTGCACGCCTTGGCAGCGAATATGAAATGCTGATGGCCTGTGACAGGGCATTGTGGTTTTACAGAAGATTGTTACCATATAGCCTAACGCAGCCCACACGCACAAACACATTCTGTGCTTCAGACAGAACCTGCTTGTTAACACGTTCACTGTGCGTGCTGGCCACGAACACCGTGTGGTATTTATGCAGCTGAAAAAAACTGCTTCTGACACGCTCTGCCCAGGTTACGCCATGCCCAAAGCTCTCTGGACAACTGCCTGCTGCAAGAGCAACGCGCTGGCGCACCCCACTCGCCCACACACTTCACCAAGGAAACAGCAACCACGGGCAGCTAACCTTCCCGCGCTGAGGATGAAGTCCCTGAAGAACTGCTGGCACCCAGGGAATGAAGGGGGTGGACAAGGTCCTCTGATGCTCTGAGGAACGACAAATCTTTCCTGAAGCCTCTTCAGCCGGCTCAGATTGTCAGAACCCAGCATATTAAGGACATCCTGGTCTGGGGTGTCTCCCAAGCTTGCGCCACCTCCAATAGGACCTTTACACATCTTCAGGAGACAGAAAGAGTAGTGAGGTGAAAAATAAGTAATAAGGCATCGTTTCACTTCACCTGTCACCCCACATATTCTCCCTTCCTCACAAGACACTGTTTTAGGAGTAATCCAAGTATGGCCTTTTCAGGCAGCCCACGTACAGAAGGCCTCTTCCTCACACCAGAACATCTTACCCATGGCCATAAACAGCCTAGAGATCTTGCAAAATGTAAAGTACTGGAATTCCTTTTAACTCAAGCACATCCAGCAGACTACATGTAGATGTGTAGAGAGAACACCTATCGCTCACACGGTCTTCAGGAACCACTTGGTAGGATCTTTAGCCCAGTCTCCAAGGACCGGGATACTGCACTATGCATTCCCAGACTGGACTTTCCTGGACTTTTCAGAGTTAAATAAAGTTAAAAGGTGAATGAACCCCTTCCCTAAACATAAAGATACTACTCAAGACTCAGAAAATCATGGAATTGCAGGACTGTTTGGGTTGGAAGGGACCTCCTGGATCATCTAATCCAACCCTCTTACTCAAACAGGGTCAGCTACAGCAAGTTGTCCAGGACCACGTCCCATTGGGTTTTCAGTGTCTCCCCAGACTGGAATGTCACAACCCCTCCAGGCAACCGGGTTCAGTGTCTGACCACCCTCACAGTAAAGTGCCTTCGTGTTCAGATAGTGTCTTTTTTCTCAGGTTGTCTCCATTGCCTCATGTTCTGTCAGTAAACATTAGTGTGAGCGATCTGGCTCCCTCTTCTTCATTCACTCCCATCAGGTATTGGTACGCAGTGCTAAGATAAGCTGGAGCCTTCTCTCCTCTGGGCTGAGGAGTCCCAGCTCTCTCAGCTTCTCCTCATAGGAAAGATGCTCCAGACCCTTAATCATTTATATGGCCCTGTGCTGGACTCGCTCTACTTAGTCTGTGTCTTCCTTGCAGTGGTGAGCCCAAAACTAGACATTCTCCACACATAACCTAACCAATGCTGAGCGAAGAGATGACTGCACACTCCTACATCTGAATCAGGATAGTTTTAATGAGGGAGATCATACTAAAAAGCAACACTTAACTATGTATATCAAGTGAGCAATTACTAGGCCCATTTATTCCAAACTGAGGGTCCTCCTCTGCCAAAAGAGCATCTTTCCAGCTGTAAAAGAATTTTTCATAGTCTCTAGTGTAGGTTTAGATATGGGGTTTGGGGTCTTGTGAAAAGTGCAGAAATACTGCTCAACAGGCGTAGAATGTTTGTTCTCAACCTGCTCCTTGTACAGACCCACCCAAGGCTGGTTTAAAACCCAGTCAAGCTGATCATGTAGAGACAGTTTCAACAAGGAGTGATTAATTAATTAAGCACAGGTGCTTTGCTAGACAAAAGGAAGTGAATGGGTAGAAACTGCTTACTTCAGTTAAACCTTTAATAGTACATCTCGAAGTCTGTCTCAGAATCGTGCAAGACAGAAATGGAAGAAAAGTGATTATGAAGACAGCGACCCGAAGAAGACCCTGAAACTGAAACAAGAATTGGAACCAGAAAAGAAGAACGCAGCTGAGACAAGGGATTGTGACGGTCTTTGCTAAACAATGAGCTTTGGAGACTGAAAGGCTGTGTGGAAATACAGAGACTTTGGGCCTTATGTAATGGGTATTGATTGAATGGTATATAAACTGATAAACTGTGTGAGATCTTGGGCCATTTGCCATGCACTGAGGTGGCCCAACTCCAAGTTGTTAATAAAGCAAACCTAGTGGTACCCACATTTGGCATGTAACTTCCTTCAACACCAGCCTTTAAATTACCTGGCCTCGATACAAATCCTTAGTCTATGTTCTTTTCTGCATGAGTACCATAATACACACAAGATTCTGCAAACCACTTCCTGATCAGACACATCGGATTCACTGAAGACTCCAAGTTACCTGTTTAAACCTTTGGTTACCCTTGTGAAAGCCTGCAGTCTTCACTGAGCAGGCACAGATATAAAGAAGAAATACAGTTCCTAGGACTAATTAAATTCTGTTGATGCAACAAAATCCATTTCACCTCTTTCCCACAATCTCCTTGAACACACACACACATCAGACAGGACACTGGTGCAAATTCAGACCAAACACTAGAGGAATTTTCAGCATTCCAAGAGCTCACAGCTTCCTGGCAATGTGTGTGGGCTAATACGGTGGGGTTTTGTATCTGTTTTGCTATCCATTGATAAGCCAGCCATTTACAGAGAATACAGTGAAAAGTTATACTCTAATCAGGAGCATCTTTTCTTTCTTCAGTCCTTCAGTTACACTGAAGTCAGATGATGCTTCAAACTGGCCCAAAAAAAAGATTTTCAAACTACCACAGCAATGCTACATCACAAAGAGACCCTGTTGCAGAGTTACACAGAAAAAACAGAGACTCTCTGCAGGTAGTACACCCATGTTGCTAACGAACGTAACGAGGAACCTCTGCATTTGGCACATGTCAAAACAGACCCTTAATATTTCTAAAAATTGTAACTGCTCTAAAATGAGAAGGTTAAAGCAAAGAGCCATGAAGAATTAATTCTTAGAGCTCACGATGTGCTCAGTGTGCCCTATCCCTAATTAACACAGAGTTCATCAGTAATTTATCACGGATATAAATTTCTGGAAAAATAAGGAAATTTCCATGCTGAAGACATGGCTCTCCCCAAAAAAAAAAGTTTCAGTAGGAAAACCTCAAAGAAACTTGCAGGAGACAGTTTTCTGAGGCGGAGGAAGGATCAAATCAGCTCTGATGTGCATCAAAAAAGAACAAACAAATCCATGTCATTTACCTGGATAAGCTGCTTCTGAAAGAGCCTGGCAAAATGGCTGTGGTTGCAGGTTGCGGATAGGTGAGCCATCATGGCCCTGCGAAGGAACACATCACAAAATGCTGACTGCATCTCTGTGCCACGAAAAGGTGGTTTAAACTCCAGTTATCCCCAAACCATAAAATAACTGCTTTTCAGAAAGCGATCTCCAAATGCCACTGCATAAAGCGACATCCTTATCACCAGCTTTCCCAAGCACCGAGTCCCATCTGCTGACCACGGAAACAAAAATTCTCCCCGAGCAGCTGCAGAACAAACGGTTCTAGAGATAACAAGACCCTCGTCCTTTCCTGCAGTAACGCTGTTATTTGGGAATAACATTAACTCATTCAGCTCCCACTCTCCCCTGGGCAGAGCAGTGAGCTGGGTATTAACACACATGCAAGTAAGAAAACAGCAACAGCAGTACTCCGATGCCCAAAGAGAAGGGCAATTTCTCACTTTAAATCTCAGCCTTTTGCTGCTGTGGTGAAGTGTCACCTTCATAGGTGTAACTTGAGTAGGCTGGTGGTTAAGACTAACAGAAACCCACAAGGCAACTGCTTTCAAAACCATAATACTCTATTTTGATAAAGCAATAAATGAATTAAAAAGTTTGCTCTCCACAGAAAGAGCCACAGCTGTCTTGTTTTCAGAGCCAATACACTGGAACCCCCTGAAATAATTAAGAGCTAGAGACTTCTGAACTTGCAGCACTTAAGAGAAGTGGGGCATTGGAAACATGAAATGCACACAGAAGTGCACACCATGACAAGGTTCAGACCACAACATACTGGTTGTGAGGGTGGCTCTTCCTGTGATTATGAACAGGGAAAGATCTACTCCAAGACTCATCATATTAGGCCCTTGTCACTTGTGGCTTGTTTCTTTAAGGTAACACTTGATACTTTTAAATATAGAAGCAAGCTTACATGGAGGGTATCTTCCAAGAAGCACAGCTCCCTACAGGTTAGTGCAGAAGACCATTAGGAAGAACACAGAACATGCCGAGTCTCGTATGCCAAACCACAGCCACACTGAAGAACTAGCTGAAGTCGCATGAATCCTACCTGATCTTGCTGCCCAGGACTCTTTCAAAGTCCCAACCAGTTTTTTCATGGTTATCCTCCCACTCACGCAGCAGTTCATAAAAGATATCCCTGTGAATCAAGATGTTTAAGGGTATGAATTCCTAATCGTCAAAACAAGTAACAACAACTGAATATTCAATTGCTCGTAAACTCCCCAGCCAGAATCTACCTGGGATTAAATAACTCAAGCCTCTAAGCATTCAGATACCTTTGCACAACTCATTAATGTTAGCGGTAGTTCAGCGAGTTTCCATTTTCCATGTCTTTGACAGCAAGTGCTGCTTAAGCTCGTTATGCCCAAGCTCTGACGGAATGACCAGAACACCCATTATCAGACATACTGAAGACTGAGAGGCAGGAAAGAATAAGCCACATGAAATAATACCTACGAGGAGAGAAAAAAGGACCAAGACAACTTGCCATTCTCCCCTCACCCTGTTTCTCCAAGCACAGAGGGAGGTGGCAGGAAGAACAGCAGCATACCAGATTTCTAAGCGGAAGCAATCCAGTAGGGTGACACACTGTACTGGCATTTTTTACCAGAAGTCTCAATAACTCCTGAAGAATTAGGCTGTTCTTCTCTAAAGACATTAAGCATTTAGATCCCGCAGTCAATATGGACAAACATTTTTTTTTTTGGTTTTTAATGAGAATGAAAATCTTAAGATTTTTCTACAGCACGTAACATACATGAGACATTCTTAACATCCTTTGTTCACAGCCATGGCAGGATTACGCTGCCAGCCACGCGGTGACGGCTGAGGAAACTTACCTTTGCTTCTTAAATATGTGAAATGCTCTGTCGCTGGGAAAGTTAGAGCGATTGTCAGTTTCCGGCTGGAACGAAACAGACTGCACAGAGCAGGGCAGCAGGAGAGACACCTGTTTTTTTGTTGAAAATAGAAAGGCAGCCGTTAGACCAACACAAGTCTCTAATTTATCCAGCAAGATCAGAAAAAGCAGGGAAAAGATGGGATGAGGAAACCCAGCTGAGCTGTTCAGACACTAGCCATTTCCCAGTTGCTAACTGCTAGGAAACACCAACTGCTGCACAACCTACGTTACACTACAGAGCCAGAATCACTCAGCATGATGAGTGGAAGCATCTCGTCTCTCCAAGAAATCTCTGCAGAACAGACTGCAATCAATACTGATACAGTGTGGAAAGACAGACCTGCAGACAGCCAAAGTGTACCTTCAATAGAGAGCTCCAGAAAATGCGGGAGAGTGGCTGGCAATTCCTGTATTATTCTTCTTCCTCCTGTTCAAAAAGCCAGTGTCTTCAAGTGAGAGACCTTTATTTACAGCATTAACTAATAAGCTCAGCTGCTGGCATGCCCTAGTCTCGGCAGGTACGCTGTACTTCCTTTGCCAAGAGCAATTTCCATTTTTGAAAGACGGATGAAAGGAGATACAAAATATGTTAAGGCAGGCATTTCTACCATCCAGCTTTAGTTCCCTAACTCAGATGATCAGATCAGGAAACCAGCTTTCACAGACTGCACCGTCTCCTCTGCAGTTTCATTTGCCTAAAAGGAGTCTGTAGCTATTAAACAAATCCACTTCTGCCAAACCACATTCTGATACTGCATCTAACGGATCATTCTTCTGGGATCCGTGTTTACTAAATGAGAATCTCAAAAGCAAACCCTGACCCTGTCAGAGTCGCTGGTTGAGGTCAGGGCCTGGAGCACAGCGTGAGGCTAGCCAGCAGAGATTCACAGCTAGCAATCCTTGGACCTAGCAATTCACTCACGCACTGACAGGAAAAGGTGGCTTTTAGACACGGACCAAAGGTGACAAGATGCTCAAAGTCGAAGGAATGAGATTTAACATCAAAGCCATCGCAAATAAAAGACCACCACCACAGACGTACCACCACCACAGCTGAGGTCTGCCGGTTCTCACCTTGGCTGTGCTGCTTTCATAAGCCTGCCGGAGCCTCTCGTGCAAGGTGGGAGAGAAAGACGCAATCCGTTCGTTTTCGGCCAAGAGCTTCAGCATCCCCTTTTCTAAACGGGAAAGAATTCTGCCAAGACAACATGGATAAAACCCACAGACAGAGAGAGAGACACAAACAACACACCATCAGACCTAAGGACATGCTTATGCTCCTTTTTTAGGAGGCTACCAAGCCAAGAGTTCTAAGCCCCAAGCAGCCAACATCAAATCCTGCCGGCACCTGTAGGGCCATTTTTTATTGCTTTCGTCACATGACTTCCCCACCCTTGCATAACCACACCGAAGTGCAGTAGACAGATCAGTACAAGGAAAACTCACAGGCATCCAAATCCAGGCCAAGTGGTATGTTTTGAAGGCAAATTAGTAACTCTATGCCTGTGAGTGGTAAAGCTCCAAAAACCAAGCACACTTGTTTCATCTCAAACACATCTGCAGGCAGAAGCAGAGAGAAAAAAAATCTTCAACTTACTCATACTGATAACCCAAGACTTGAACAGCAAAATAAACACAGTTGTGCACGCTTCGGAAATGCTGTCTCTCTGACGCATCTAAGGGAAAAAAAGAAACACGAGACAACAGCACTTACCACCATTTATAAGCCGAAAGACCAACAATTAGCTCTCAAGGACAGCAGGAACTGCCATGTCCAAAACCAGTTTTCCAGACCAGTATCCAGTTTCTAGAAGTACCTATTCCCTGACACTGGAACAGACAAATCCTCCCATCCCTACCCTTCCTATACTAAAGGCAACTGAACTGTTCAGTACTGTATGGGAAAGAAAAGATTCCTTCTCAACATTCTGACCAACAGTAAACAGATTCAGGACAAAAAGTAGACTAACTGCAACCAGTCATCAGCGGCTCTTCCCAGAGCTGGAGACTTTGTGTTCCTAATGTCAGCCCTAAGAATCAGGGAGTGGCAAAACAAACATCAATCAAATAGAGGCATCTGCAGGGGGGAGGTTGTCTCATATGAGAGCCACATTTTGGGGGTTTATATCCATATCTAAGTAGTAACTGCATCAAGCTTAAGTCTGAATGTGCCAAAACCCAAATGCAACAGTTATGTATCTATACGGATTGGTCCTGTGTGCCCGTAACCCAACCCTGAATTTCAGAAGCACACAGCAGATCAGCAGCACTTCTGAGCTGCAAGACCCAGTGGCAGAGAGAATTTAGCACATCAGTGCTACAAACTAGCTACAACAAATCTTACACCATGGCAGAAAACCAATTCATACAGTACCTAGCAACACTGTTCTATCATATCACAGAAGCATCTTCCATACACACATGATTTTTGCCAGCATCTCAGACGAGTCCCACAGTGGTAATAAGGCATTCTTATGGAATTCCAGGCTAACTGTCCAATCTAAAGTCAACTGCTGTGTATCACACTATCATTCCATGGAAGTAACATTCTTTCCAGTCAATACTATTGTTCACCTGTACTTCTTTCATCGATTTCAAGGTCACTATCCCCATCTTCTGCAGTAGAAGTGCCTTTAGATGTCAACAGCTGCAGAACAAAAAAGAGCTCCAGAAAAATATTTGGTACCAGGTTTTCTGGAAGAAAGAGAGGAAACAAGATAGTAAAGGTGGGTATTTGTTATTGACCTACTTTAATAAATGAAGGTAAAAAGATAAGTAACTGTTCTATGGCACAGTCAGCAAAGAACTCCCTCCCCACACACAGCCACAGTGTAAATCAACATGGGAATTACAGAGAAGATGTGTTAGGGAAGGGTCTGGTTTCAGACAGGGCAACACAAACGCAGCCTCCTGCATGTCACAGTTACTGCATCGGGTTCAGCTCCTTCCCTAAACTTTTACCTAGCATCCATTTGTTTTAATAACTGCACTGGCTTCGTTTATTTACCCAGATGTTACTTGTTGGTACACTATAACTGTCCCACAGCCTTCCCTTCTCATCCACCCCCACCTCACCACACACATCCAGGTTCAAAGCTCAAAGAAAGGTCAGTCTCACATCTTCTTGGTCTTCACCTGCTATGCACGATGAATAGAGCTGCGCCAGACACTCCAACTGTTTCTTGCAGGAAACCTTAGCAGGATTTGCACAGGTCACCAGATGGCTTTCGGCAGGAAGGCTAGCACTGCGAGTATAGCTAGGCTTCGTAGGAGTCCCAGGATCAGGAGATATCCCCGACGGAGAAGATGCCTGGTGCAGCAATTTGCATCTGAAATCCAAGAGCGGCAACATACAACGTGACTGAAGATGATACACAGCAGTGATAGGGCGAGAAGCGGTCCTTCTTTTGTCCAAAGGAATTCCTGCAATAACTAACCCTGTCGTTTACAGCACCTAAAGCTGCTTTTAGCACGACAGTAATTTAAGTCAGTAAATTAAGTCCCTTCATGAGAAAGGACCTTGGGTCTAACAATCAAAAGGCTCAAAAGAATCACATTCAAGCTCAAACTCTGCTAAAACAGTGTGGCACTTGGAGCAAATTATCTAACTAACCTATGTTACTGCTTCTCATCTAAACTGGTATTTGATAAGGACAAGGAATCTGCTAGAGACCAGGTCATAAAAAAGAAAAAAAAAGAAAATCTTTTTGCACGTACAACTTGGCAGCTAGATACTTCCCAAAATCTGTGAAAACAAGGTTCACATCCATACCTTCAGATATATCTGTAAGTTAACAACACCCTGAGAAGCTCCAATACCACTAAGTGGAAAGGCAATGCAACAACTGATGAAACCCCATACTGGCAAGTTAAACAACAGAAGGAACAAACCACTTTAACACCGCTGGATTCTATATCAGCAGTGATCTGTCACTTAAATACACAGATACTGTAAAAAAACATACCTACAGAGGTCATCCAGAATGCAGCAGCAGAGTGCAATACATAAGACACGAGAAGCAGGAAAAAAGCCAGTAACAGTGATATCAAACGATTGTTAAAGATCCCAGTGGAACACCCGTACTTGGCACATCACACCAGCTCTTACCACGTTGTCACATAAGTAAAATCTTTAAAAGTCACTTTAAAGGCTGTGGGGAAGACAGAAACGTTTTTAACTGCAGCAAAGAACTCTTCCTATTGGCCTATTTCTAGTGGAACTGCTGCGATGAAGAACAAATTAATCCCAAAACGGCAGTAGAAGGGTTATTTAATAACACCTCCCTTGCAATGCCCTTAAGCACCCGACTGAAAGAACTGAAGAAAATTACTTATTAAGCACTTTGCAGACCCACCAAAGTAAGACTCCAACAATGTAGTTAAGACTCTGCTTCACTTCTCTCATCCACCTCTGCAGGAATTTCACCCTTTGCCCTTGCTCACAGTGACGCAGTTGGCAGGGTGCTGCGTTCGTTTTGTACCTTTCTTCACCACTACTGAGGACACAACAGAGCTCCCAGCCCTAAGCACCAAGCACTGCCCATTTCAAGCACGATGGGTCAGATGAGATCACCTCATGGGCAACATCCAGCACGCAGGCTGCTATTTCACCTACTTTAGTTCATACGGATTAGTGGGAGATTTCAGGTAGAATTCAGACTGGACTAGGTGCTTCACGGAAGTGAACAGAGGCAGGTTTGACTCCCGAGCAGCTCTGTTAAAGGTCTGGTACAAACAGTGCCTTATGAGACTAGAGTGGGTCTGTTTAAGCCAGCTGTGGTCCCACTGAAGTGAACTGCAAGGCTCAGCAGGAGAATTTACACCCACATGCCCTGAGGAGTTGCCCCAAGAACAAAATCTACAAAGAACAGCAGCAGTTCTGTCAGCAATTATGAACGGTAGTTTCTCCAGTACTACTGTCCTTTGCTTTTTTCCTGAAGTATCAATCCCCACAGACCAACAGCGCTATCTTTTTACAGAGGGTGAAAGTCACACAGTAGCTGAACAGCAGAGACGAAATTAGGAGCTAGAATTCACCTCACCTCCCAGCACACACAGTTTTCCATAGACAAAACACAGCAGTAGTAACAGAAACTCACGCTACACGTGTGCTCTTTTCTCTGACCGTAAGCTTGTGCTAGTCTGCCTGCCTTGCAAAATCATCAACAATTTCCTCATACCTGCATCATTAACTCACTTTCTTCAAGCCAGACATCTACTATCACAGGCGCAATCATCAAACACAGCTTAATGACACCAGCTTCAACCTTAAACCCACTCCCGTTGCCCGTGCAATCAAAGGCAAGCTGCGCAGGAGACAGCCCCACGTGAAAGAGGCAGTCGTGTGAGAACAGGGAGAACTGACTGAACTTCTGAAGACAAAGCCAGGGTCGCTGTTCCAGAGCCAGCACACCTCTAAAACGACAAACGTCAGCTAGCTGCATTAACATCCTAGTCTGATACCAGAGTCATGCTTGGGTTTAGGAAAATTATAGTTTAAGGTCACTAGTATCTATTTTGGATGTTCTTCTGGTCACTTCCACTCTGGTATTGGTAGCACCTGAAGACAAGAGCAGTAAGAACCAACACAAGCCTATCACCACCCTGCTCAGACGGTACCTTTCTTTCTTCAGCATCTCCCTCTCCTCTTGAAGGCTGTTGCTTTTCACAGACATAAGGTTTCCTTCCTGGACAGCAGTAAAGGCCTCAAGGCTTGATCTGGATGAAAACCGAGCAGCTGGAGACTGGCTGACAGGCGTAGAAGTGAAGCACATCTTTGGTTTTGAGAGGGGGCGCTCAGCACTGACAGGAGTTGGGTTGATCCGCCTTGATGGTTTGCTTTTGCTGAAAAAGTGAGAAGGGATTCCACTGAAATCAAACTAAACAACAACAACAAAATTAGCTCTCAAGACAGATTTCCATGCAACTCTTCCAGAAGCAGCTAAGGCTAAAATAAAATGGACACAGAATCAGGATATTGGATTTCTAAACTGTACATATAGTTGCTGACTTTAATCTGGTCACTGAATAAACGTCATGGAGCTACAGACTGCTAAAAACAGCCTGCTGACCCTTGCTGCAAAATTAATTATCAGTTGTCAGGCCACAGAACAGTAACAGTGCCACACCATTCTTTCCAACATTTCTAGTTTGAAAGGACAGGACATGCCTCATTTTAGCAGGAAACTAAATCACTGGCAGTTTCTAACATGACCACAAGAGAAAAAAAACAACAACCACCAATCCAACAATCAAGCTGCCATCGTCTGTCAGTAGGAGCCTGGGCTCCCGAGTTACCATAGTCCATTTAAGTTCAGGGACACCCATCCAACCTGCATAAACTACTTAGTTTTGTCCTTCAGGAAGAGGCTCTGTAATGCAGTAAGAAACATGGAAATGAGAGACAGGATCATAAAGCATTACACTTCTCAAGGCAATGCTGGCTGCTACACAGTAATGGCTAATTTGGTGTGCTCAAAATCACTGTAGCGTTGGCCTGCACACGCTCCATGACCACCTTCTTCACTCTTCTCCCTAGCTGAGCACAGTGTGATAGAGGAAGAGAGACTTGCTGTCTATGCTGGAAACACACTTTCCCTCCCTTGGCCAAAGCATCATCTAGAGCATCACCTAGTCCCAGCATCTGGATCTGCTGTACAGACCTATCAATTTTCAGCTGGAATTTTGCCAAGTCCAACTAGAAAGTCCCACTTTCCCCATGCTCATTTCAATGAGATGAACAAAACGAAAGCCTTATATTTGGTAATGAGGGTTTTAAAGAGTAAAATCTCAAAGAGAAAGAGCAAAGGACCAAGGCAACCACAACACAAACAGCTGCCCAGAAGCTAAGTGAAAGTCACGAGGGAGATCAAGGCCTGCCGCAGACCAAGCGGAATACAGGCATCAGCTATTTTGTCCATGATCACACGGCACAAATGAAGCCGCACGCGAACATCTGTTACCAGAGGCCACAGAACGCCAACCCGAGAGCTTTTTTGCCAGCGTCTGTAAAGCTGAAGAGCCTTCCAGGACTGCTCTTCACTAGCAATCGCAATTGTGTTAAATGAGAAATGTGAAGAGCCAAGATAACGCTGACTTGTCAGGACACGCAAGGACAAAGATGCACTCAGCTTCGTACCAGCTGGTCTGCACAACAGGAAGCTGCAGGCAGCATCACGAGCGGGAGGTTAAAGAGACATCTTGGGCGAGTTCAGAGTGGAAACCTGACTACCCACTGGAGCAACACTCCCCTACATGGCAACCGTAACAAAGCAGTTCTGGCCAAGGAGCCAGAAGCCAGCCCCTGGGTATCATTTATTACAGTATTTGTGTATCCGGACATGCACAGCAGGAAGAGCAAGTCACGGAACTGTAACCTGCAGCATAATGCCAATGAGACAGCGAGGCAGACTTGCTCATACTTTGTCCAGCCAGAGGCAGCACCCATGGGCGGAAACTCCTCCAAGTTGTTCAGATTCAGCTGGCTAGGCGGGGATCTGGCAGAAACAAGAGGCACTTCACTCCGCTTCCTCCTCCCTCCACTCCACGATACACCATCATGCTTTCCGTCTTCCTCGTCAGCAAGGGAACGCCCCAGATCCCGAGCCACTTGCCGGCCAGAGGCACTGACTGAGCCTTTCTTTCGGCCTCGTCTGGCCGGCAGGGCTTCAGGCGTGGCTGTGAGGAAGCTCCCCAGGCTGGCCTTCTGGGATGACCGCTTCTCACCGTGGTTAAGCACAGGGCTGTACCCAAAGCTCGGGCTGCTGCTGGAGGCCACGCTAGGGCAGTCGCCACAAGGGCTAGACAGGTTTGACCCAGAAAAGGAAGAGGAGCTGCTGGATGCCGCAGCAGGAGAAAAGCTGATGTCTGTGGTGCAGGTGGTCACCAAAGTCCTTTGGGTAAAGAGCTGCACACGGCTGCTGGTCGCGTGGCCTGCCCTCCGTTCTGGTCCTGTCCTTTGGCTCCTGTGGGCCTTGGAATTAGGAGTTTTAGCAGGAGTAGAGGGTCCATTAGTCAGGATCTGGCTGGTCTGCTCCCTTAAAAAGTTTAGCAGAAAAGGCACAAAGTCTTTCTGAAGTAAACTGAGAGATACCAGCTTGTCATGGACGTGGTTCTCCTACAACGAAAGAGGACAAAGCATTAATAAAAAGCTGCTACCCCGATTCTTTCACAAGCCCGGATTCATTTCAGTAGTAACTGTGGGACTGCCATACACAATAAAGAAACACCGCGACTCGTCAGAGCAGGTCACTGAAATTCAAGCAACCTTAGTGCTGGCCACAGATCTGAAACTCAGCCCCCACACAAGCAGTTTTGGCGCAAGTTTTCATTCACTTAGGTCTCCCACTGGGAAACAGTGGAACTGTCCCATGGAAACATCAGTAATACTTACTGAAGCTACGGCCAGCAATAATTTGGAGCAACTGGCACCCCTAAGTTCAACATTTCAAAGGCACTGTTACCGAAGCAGCTAATTCTAACAGAAAAGTCTGAAATCTGCAACTTCTCCCTGCCTTATCTGCCTATGAATGCCACCTGCTTCCACAGAGGGGGGCTCCAATGACATCTGTTTCGGCACTTTGAGTCCTGCAGTGCCAAATACAAGACCAAAGCTGCTCTTCCATCCCAATTAAATCATTTTGCTCCCCTGAGACCTCAGAGGCCTAAACAGAGACGGTCCAAGTTTAAAGGTACGTGAAGTTTATACTTAAGAAACTTCAACCAACCAAGAAAATCCCACCACAGACTCAGCACATTTAAATTCTGAACGGGTAGCTGCGATCTTACAAGGGCAAATCTAGACAAAATAGACTTCACGTTACATGCATAGTTCAACGCTTTGTAGACTGGGTAAAATTTCTTTTGTTCCTAACACTGCACCAGGTTTCTGTTTCCTCTCCATGGATTCAGCAATAGGTGCAACAACAAAAGCAGCTCTCACAGGCAGCAACTTATTCCTTAAAATCACAGCAGGCATAGCCCTGTTCGTTTGTATTCACACCACCACTAGATGGAAAGTCAAGAAAGCAAACATTATATCTGAAGGGTGTTTTTTGTGTGAAAGGAGGCAGTGAAAGCATGGCCACGACTGGACTTCTACAACCATAGAACCACAGACTGGTTTGGGTTGGAAGGGACCTTAAAGACCACCTAGTTCCAACCCCTCTCCCACAGGCAGGGACACCTTCCACTAGATCAGGTTGCTAAAAGCTTCACCCGGAACACTTCCAGGGATGGGGCATCCACAGCTTCTCTGGGCAACCTGTTCCAGTGCCTCACCATCCTCATCCTCGACACCAATGCCAAAGCTCATATTTGAAAGCATGAAACCCATTCAGCTTCCTGGAGAAGCATGAGACGCTGATACAGCGTGCGTGACAAGCCAAGCAGCGAAGGCTTACCGCTTTAGCACTCCGTGAAAAAACAGGGGTCAGAACACAAACCCCGTGAGACATCAGAAGACCCAACTTCTTACCAGCTCCAGTCCGAAATTGCCACCAAAGCTAGAGCAAGACGTAGCCCGCCATTCCCTCAGGTGACCCCTGGGTTTAGCAGGGAGGTGCAAAGACAAGATTACAGTCTGTGCTGTGCACAAGGCCAGGCGGTTGCTCCATCTCTGTGCAAGTTAACAGAGGTTTAGCTCCTCCACGGCCTGATGACAACCTGCCAGCAGCCACCAGCCTCCTACGTGTTTCCTCACCCCGAAGCAGCTGAGCTCCTCCCAGCAGCGGAAGGCCGTCAGCAACTCCCCTGCAAGGGTAAATGTTTCGGCCCCCATGCCCCTCACCCGCGCAGCGCTAGCAGAGCTGTCAGCGTC